TTTAACTAAACATAATAAAAACACAAAGCCAACTTGTATTATAATTAAACATGAAATTCAATAAAAGAGAGAAAGTAGTAGAAGAGATATCACCCTTGTCACATGAGATCGACCTCTTCATCTTTGCTCCTCCAATATTCATCCAAATCTAACTACAAATACAAGATGGATAAACTACTCTACCTATACTATACTAATGAACCAAGGAAACTCTAGTGAAAACTACATTTCTGGTGAGTTTCTCTAGCCTTCTCCCAAGTTATTTTGAATCCTGCAAGTCCATGGCTATATATAGATGAATGCAATCAGGAAATGAGGCTTGAAACATCCCTTTTACAGCTGCTAATTGGTTGTCATACGTTCATCCATAGCTGTAAATTGTTGAAGGAGAAAACAGGTTGTACCAGCAGCTATTTCTGACCAGAATCTGGCTACTTCAACTGTTATTTTCTCTATAATGACGGCTAAATTAGCTCTTGTGAAAAACATAGAAGTTGTAGCCCATTGAAATAGCTGTCCAATGCCTCAAGAATCATCCAATTTAGAGCTGTCTAGACCGATATATGATAAAAATACCACTGACTGGTCAATTCCGCGTTTTCAGCTCTCAGCAGCAGACTTTTACTTCTGTATTTTGACATTTTGACCAGGAAAACAGCCGAATTGGACTTTTGATGTCTTCATACCAAATGTAGATCTGTCTCTTAGCTTTAAAATGATATAAAGATCATCTGAATCCAATGTATGTAGCCCAAGATATAGCCAAAATACCAACAGATGCCAAAGCTGACTTTTGTTTGATTCTTTTGTTCTCAAGTTGCATTTCTCAGCTGAGTTGAATTTCGGTATTTCAACTTTTGGACAATGAAAACGGCTGAATTAGATTCTGATGTCTTCATACCAAATTTAGATCTATCTCGTTGGAGTGAATCTCCTCGACTCTCAAATTTATGAACTGTCTTTGTGAAAGAAAACCCTAATTCTGGACTGATCTATAGCTAATCTTGATTTGGGACTTGTTATTCGAATTCCTTGGTGTTAATCACCTACCAAATGTATCTTGGATGTTTCTTAGACATTGTATACACAAATGAATCATATTTGAGATGTTTTTGATGGCCAAACGTTTCGGGGAAAAGGAAAACAGAACTACAAGGCAGTTTTGCCTTGGAAATTCTTGGAGTTTTAATGACTTGGTTAACTAACTTTTCGTACGAGTTTTTGCATGAAAATTTACAGAGGAATAACCCTTATATGGTAGTGTAATACTGCTAATTTTGGTACTATTCCAAGTTCATTTAGATGCTCAACTAAAGTACCAAAGTTCAAGCTTTAAACCTGGAAAACCCCTGTTTGAGAAGTAAATTTCAGTGACTTTGAGCCACTATATCTTGGTGCTCAAAACTCCAATTCTTGTTCCGCTTGTTGTGTTGAAAATTTTGATTGTAACTCTAATTGAGTTCCTAATTTCAGAGGCTAGTTCGCATTGTGTGAATTTTGCCAAATTTTCAAAGTTGGCCAAAAACCAACCCCGAAACTGTCTCGATGGTCCAAAACAGCAACTTTGAGCCAAATTTTGAATATCTTCCATTTGGAATCATGGAAAGGTATTTTCTAGGAACTTTTAGTACTTTGGAAGTAGTTTCCAATGGTACCAAGTTTTCCAAATTTAGACTTACGGAGAGTGAGATACGATTTTTCAAATATCGCTCGACAAATCTGAAATTTCTGAACTTAAAGAAAATTGAGGGTTTCGAACTCTCCATTTTTCTTCGATTCTACTAGACCGGTTTACACTTGATTTCGGAGATGCAAATCAGATTTCTCTTGTACTTTTAAAACCCTGCTTTTGAACCTCGATTTACGAGTAATCCAGACTCGTACTTGTGAAATTTTCTTAGATTGTACTAACGTGCAATCTTTCTTGATACTTAGGGGTTTTAAGTGATATTGAGTTGTGGTTTATTATCAATTACTCAGGCACCCAAAAGGACCTTCAAGAGGATCCCACGGTGAACGTCTGAACCTTCAAGTGGACACACTTCCTTGTTTCTTGTATTGATGAGTGTCAAGTGTATGAATACTTGATACATACTTAATTGTTATAACTGATTGGATATTTTGAAAATGGAGATGAGTGTGTACTTTACCGCACTCGTTCTTATTTGAAATAAATGACTCGTGATTGAAATGAAACGAATGAATTATGAATGACCTAATTGAATGAAATGAAATGATTAAATGCTTGAATGAAATGAAATGGTATGCTATAGCTGCATACGTCGTTGGAGTGAATCTCCTCGACTCTCAAATGTATATGGGGGACGTCCAAACTCATAGGCCGACCTTGGGACTCGAGCCGGCATGGGCTTGGTCGGGAATCTCAGTGAGTCATAAGAATTACATGATAAGCTTGATCTATTGGAGAGATCTCGCTTGGCCTACTCGTGGAGTATCGTCTTATAAATGTCGTGCGGGCCTGGTGCGGTGTACGGTGGACGGACATGAGAAATAAGTGAAGTTGTACGGATTGGAAATATCGACCCGATTGACGGAGAGTCATCACGGGAAGATATACGAATGAAATTTGCAAAGCAAGTGGAAATTAGCTCCTGAGAGCTACCATATCCTTGAATTGTTTCTGTTTACATTTCACCGAATTGTTAATTACTCGAATGTTATTGTTTTACTTATTGTTTGAAATTGTTATTTGGACAACGTGCTTGCATGTGTGTTTCTTGGCCTTACGAGCGATTGCTCATCCCGTAGATTTGTTTTCCTTAATAGGAATGGGCATGGAGTAAGACTCGAAGAAACCCTTGGGATGTACTCTTGTATTAGGGTTTCAATGTAATTGACTAGACATCTTGGCTGTTGTATATTTTGGGAAATGATGTATCTTTTGAGAACCCGATATAAGGATTGGATGATTGTTACATATTGTTAAGTTCGAACGTTTCTGCATTTGCTTATTTTACATCGTGGTAATGGCTAGTATCGTATTAAGCTTGAATGAAAATTGTATAGAGTCCTGGCGAGAGTTGGGCAGGCGTCCCGCGGATACCCTTTGGTTCGCCTTAGGGAGAAGTGGGGGCGTCACAGTTGGTATCAGAGCGCTAGGCTAGAGATCTATTTGGGAGATATACTAGAAACCTTACCCTTAAGATTTGAGATAGGATGACTAAGCCACACTTTAAGTAATACTTGGGCAAGTTCGTGACTAAGTTAGTCATGCCTTAAGTGACATTCGTGCAAGCTAGTGATTAAATTTCTAACCCGAAAAGTGTAATTGTTTTGCAGGGATGGATAATGAAAGTGGGACTCCGGCAGCTAATGGGAATGACCATGTTAATGGTCGCGTAGAGCCTCCTACACCTATTTACTACCGAGCTCTTGGTGGGGGAGCTCGTGTGCGTTATTCACCTGCTACTAGATACCCTCGATGTTCGTGTAGGGTAACCTTTGCCTACCCGAACCACCTCGTACTTGCTTTGGATGACGAGCGTCGTCAGTTGGTGAACACCAACTTAGATTTACAGGCGTAGGTAGACGAGTTGAGACAGATGGTTAGTGCTCAGGGAGAGAGGATTGCGGAGCTTGAGGAGGTTATAGAGGGCGAGATGGCTACTGCTGCGGTTACTCGTAAGAAGCTCCAGAGGACTAGGGCTCGACTCACTAGGTTAGGTGAGAAGATCCGTGATCGGGCTTCCGGGATCCTGGCTGATGCCATTGAGATGATAGATGGGGTGATGGATATTGTCCAGAGCCCAGATCAGGAGGAGGATCCTGAGAAGGAGATTCCTCCTGGTAGTCCTACTGTGGACTATGTCTAGACTGATTGACCTTTTGACCCTTTTGACTGGTACAGTTAGGATTAGCTGGGGTGATGCGAGTGCTGAGCCCATTGTATTTTGCATGACTGTGTGGCCTACTTTTGAGGCACTTGATTTTGCTTTAGTCTTATATGACAGTAAGTACTCTTGTGGCACATGTGTTCTATATTTTTGTGATTTTTCCCATGACTTGCTAATTGTATGGATTTTGACATGTTAATGAATGTAAATTATTGTTATTTTCAATGCTTTCGTGATTGGTTCTTGTTTTAAGTATTTTTTCGCATAATTGATTCATTTCTTGCACTAGGCATACCTAGGATAATGGAAAGGTGAAGGAGTGGTCGAGGCCTTGGGCGAGGGACTAGACAGACCTAACCTTATGGGGATGACCAGGGATCGGCAACTGGACCGACCCAGGGACAAGAAAATATTGAGGAAAATCAAGTGGCTACTGCCATTATTAGGATGATTGATATCCTAATGCGTTTAACTGATAGACAAGGTCTTGGACCGCTTAACCAAATTGGGGGATAGGATAGAAGGGAGGGTAGAGCCTTGGAGAGGTTCCTGAAATTTAACCCGCCTAAATTCATTGGTGAACCTGATCCTGAGATAGCGGAGAATTGGTTGGAGAGAATGACTAATATATTCGCCGCCTTATACTATACCGAAGATAGGCGAGTGAATTTTGCTACTTTCTAATTTGAGGGAGTGGCTCGTGCTTGGTGGGACATGATAAAAGGAAAATGGGAGAGAGCTCAAACCCCTTGGACTTGGGAGAATTTCACGAGGGAGTTTAATGAAAAATTTCTTCCACCTTTGATCCAAGAGAAGAGGGAGGATGAATTTATCAAATTGAAACAGGGGACCCTTAGTGTGGCAGAGTATAAAGAAAAATTTACTAAGCTTTCTAAGTACGCCCCTGAATTGGTAACTAATGAACGAAGAAGGATAAGGCGGTTTGTACAAGGGTTTAATGTGGAAATCCAGGAGGGCTTGGCCGCAGCCCAAATCTCTACATTTACTGAGGCTTTAGAGAAAGTGCAACGGGTTGAAAGTGTGAGAATGCAAGTTAAGGACTTTCATAATAGGAAAAAGAACTTTTCTAGTCGCACTTTTGGACAGACTAGTAAGAGTTCGCAGCCTTCCAAAATTGGGAGAGGAATGGGAGGAATAAGGACTACTGGAGCTTCAAGGGGAGCTTTATCCAGAGGAGGCCGTAGTGGACCGGTTCAAGCTAGGGGAGCGCCTTCTAGTGATTCGGCAGTGACCCCTCAAGTTACTTGTGGGTACTGTGGTAAACCCGAGCACTCTGAGAATGACTGTTGGAGAAAGTCTGGGAAGTGTTTGGCTTGTGGTATTACCAATCACCAACTTGCGAACTGTCCAAGTAAAATGAAGATAGGAAGGAACACTCAAAGGCCAGAAAAGTCAATCTCTAAGCAGACCAGTGCTAGAGGAAGTCAACCTAAGGTGCCTGCTAGGGTTTATGCACTGGACCATCAACAGATACCCGAGGCGACTGAGGTGGTTAAATGTACGGTTCCTATTTGTCACCGCTTAGCTAGGGTTTTAATTGATTCAGGTGCGACACATTCCTTTGTAAACCCTAACTTCATGCGCGGAATAGATTTGAAACCAATTAAATTACCTTATGACTTAGAGGGTAGAATGCCTACTGGGAATCAAAGTCTAATCGCTAACTTGATGTATAGGGATTGTGAGATCTGGATTGGAGAACAGAAATTAATGGCCGATCTGATAGGTTTAGCGATTAAGGGGTATGATGTGATCTTAGGAATGGACTGGTTAACCCGTTACAATGCCCAGTTGAATTATAAGACGAAAATAGTAGAATTGTGCATTCCGGGAGAAGCAACCTTGAAACTGGATGTAAGGGGTAGATTAGCCTCATCTGCACTTATCTCAGGAATCCGAGCTAGGAAAATGTTAAGTAAGGGAGCTCAGGGATATTTGGCTTTTCTAATCAACACTCCTAGTGATAAAGTGAGATTGGAGGATATGCCTGAAGTGAAAGAGTTTCCAGATGTCTTTCCTGAAGAGTTAGAGTCTACCCCCGAAAAGGGAAATAACTTTTAAGATTGATGTGACTCCGAGAGTAGCACCTATCTCTAAGATGCCATATCGGATGGCTCCCGCCGAACTGAAGGAATTGAAATTGCAACTGCAGGACTTGTTGGAACGGGATTTTATAAAAGAGAGTGATTCACCGTGGGGAGCTCCGATCCTGTTTGTTAAAAAGAAAAATGGGAGTCTAAGGTTGTGTATAGACTACCGAGACTTGAATGATGTCACCATTAAGAATAAGTACCCGTTGCCCCACATCGATGATTGTTTGACCAATTGCAAGGGACGGTGGTATTTTCCAAGTTGGATTTGATACAGGGTTATTATCAATTGAGGATTTTGGAGAAAGATGTACCCAAGACTGCTTTTAACTCGAGGTATGGGCACTTTGAGTTTGCCGTAATGCCATTTGGGTTAACGAATGCACCTGATGTTTTTATGGATTTGATGCACAGGGTCTTTAAGCCTTATCTGGACCAATTTGTGATGGTCTTTATTGATGATATCTTGGTGTACTCTAAGAATGTGGAGGATCATGAGAGGCACTTGAGGATTGTTTTACAAACCCTAAGGGAACACCAATTGTATGCTAAATTCAGTAAGTGTGAATTTTGGTTGAAAGAAGTGACATTCTTGGGGCACATAATTTCTAAGGATGGGATAAAAGTGGATCCAGCCAAAGTTGAAGCTGTTTCAAAGTAAAAAAAATCGGAAAACCCTGCTGAGGTTCGAAGTTTTATAGGATTAGCAGGATATTACCGGAGATTCATTAAGAATTTTTGTAGAATTGTTGGACCCATGACTGAGTTGACCAAGAAAGGTGGAAAGTTTATATGGAGTCCTAAGTGTGAAGAAGTTTCCAAGAGTTAAAAAGACGTTTGACGAGAGCGCCTGTGTTAGCTCTACCGAATGGGAAAGATAGCTTTATGGTCTATACAGATGCTTCCAAGGAAGGCTTGGGATGTGTTTTAATGCAAAATGAGAAAGTGATAGTGTATGCCTCTAGGAAATTGAAACCTCATGAAAGAAACTACCCGACTCATGATTTGGAGTTGGCAGCGGTAGTGTTCGCTTTAAGAAGTGGAGACATTATTTGTATGGAGTAACATTTGAGGTTTTCATTGATCACAAAGTTTTAAGTACTTATTTTCTCAAAAGAAGCTGAATTTAAGGCAACGTAGGTGGATGGAATTTCTGGAAGATTATGATTGCACGATAAAGTACCATCCAGGGAAGGCCAATGTAGTGGCCGATGCTCTAAATCGCCAAGTGCAAGTGGCCGGATTGACGATTAAGGAATTACACCTGTTAGAAGAAGTTAGTTATTGGAATCCCAGACTTGAGCCGAGAAAAGTGATTCTTGGGAATATTGTAGTGAATTCCACTTTGTTGGAACATATTAAAGAAACTCAGGAAAAGGACCCTGAAGTGCAAAAGTGGGTGGAGAAAGTCAAAAAGGGAGAGAAGTCAGATTTTAACTTGGGATCAAATGGTATTTTGAAATTTCGGAATCGGATAGTAGTGCCAAAGGATGAAGGGTTTAAGAAGAAAATCTTAGAAGAGGCACACCGATCGAAGTTTACGGTACACCCTGGAGGGAATAAAATGTACCAAGACTTGAAGAGTCTGTATTGGTGGGAGAGCATGCAGAAGGAAATTGCCCTATTTGTCCAGACCTGTTTAATTTGTCAACAGGTTAAGGCTGTACACCAGAAATCGTCCGGACTTTTGCAACCTTTAGAGATACCTGAGTGGAAATGGGAGAACATCACTATTGATTTTGTATCAGGACTATCCAGGACACAAAGAGGCCATGATGCTATTTGGGTAATAGTGGATCGACTGACCAAATCAGCTCATTTTCTGCCGATTAATATGAAGTACCCATTGGAGAAGTTAACTAAGTTGTACTTGGATGAGATTATCAGGTTGCATGGAATATCGGTAAGTATTGTGTCAGATAGAAATCCAAGATTTGTTTCGAGGTTTTGGCAAAAGATGCAGGAAGTGTTGGGGACTTAGTACTACTTACCATCCCCAGACCGATGGACAGTCTGAGAGAACCATTCAAACCCTTGAGGACATGTTGAGGACTTGTGTATTGGATTTTGGGGAGAGTTGGAGTAAATTTTTAACACTGGTGAAATTTGCCTATAACAATAGCTTCCACTCTTCTATTCAAATGGCTCCATATGAAGCACTTTATGATCGGAAGTGTAGATCTCCGATTTGTTGGGATGAAGTAGGTGAACGCAAAATCTTAGACCCGACTACAGTGCCTTGGATTGAGGAAGCTAATGAGAAAGTAAAGTTGGTACACCAGAGGATTCAGACCGCTCAAAGTCGTCAAAAGAGTTATGCAGATAATCGGAGGAAGGACTTAGAATTTGCGGTTGGAGATCTAGTATTTCTTAAGATTACATCTCTGAAAGCAAGTTTAATGTCTGGAAAAGGAAAGAAATTACAACCGAGATTCGTAGGACCGTACAAGATTATCCAACGTGTAGGAAATGTGGCCTATAAGTTGGAGTTGCCACCAAGTTTGTCTCGGATTCACAATATTTTCCACGTGTCTATGCTTAAGAAATATCATCCAGACCCTTCTCACATTCTGCAACCGAAAAGTATTGAGATTGATGAGACATTGACCTATGAGGAGAAATCGATAAAGCTTTTAGATAGTAAGGTGAAAAAACTGAGGAACAAGCAGATTCCTTTGGTGAAAGTTCTTTGGAGGAACCATGAGTTAAAGAAAGCGACTTGGGAAGTTGAAGAAGCAATTCGAGAAAAATATCCAGACCTGTTCACAAATCAAGATATAATTTCGAGAACGAAATTCTCTTAAGGGGGAGAGGATGTGAAGACTCGCAAATTTTTTTATTTTAAATTCCTATTTGCTAGCTCATTTAAATATTTAATTGTCCGTTTACTCCGAATATTTTATTTTAACCTTTTTAGATCTAATTGCATGGAACTATGACCTACAAGTATTTTAAAAATACCTTGACTCAAAAATTTATTTTTGAAAACTCGTATAGAGTGAATAGTGGTTGCACGTTTGGAGACAATAATCGAATCGAGAATACAATAAGCTTGAAAAATTGGAGGCTTGTACATTAGTCTTGAAAAAGGTATTTTTATGTTTAAGTGTTCAATTATTAGTTAGTGATACTATCGATATAAGAATTTCTTGAAATTTTCACTTTATCGCGTACAAATCGAAAATACGCGTTTTCACGTGCACGATTAATTGAGGGATTTTAGACCTTTATTTTAGACCATTATGAGTGAATAATTATAGTATGAATGGAAGTGTATTAGAGGTTTAGTGCACAAGTGAAACAAACCCGAGAGGAATTGAGCACGAAACGCGCGCGTGTGCGCACGGGGAGAGAGTTGACTTTTGAGGTATTCTTAGCCACACATTTTAGCTTCTCAAGGAAGCTTCATTTTTCATCAAACACTCTCTCTCTCTTGCTCTAAGCTGGCCAGCCATCCAAGGGAGAAAAGAACCAAATTTCTTCATCAAGTTCTTCTTCATTTCATCACTAAATCTTCACCAAATCACCTCAAAATTTACATACACTTTGCTAACCACTAGGAGATCACCTCAAGCTAGGAAAAGAGCTTCATCTCACGGTTTTTCTTTAGCTCCAAGGGACCGAAATTTTCTGCCTTGCTCATCCAAAGACGTAATGAACGATCAACTTCTAAAATCTCAGTTTATAGAAGTTATCTTGCACTTGTGAGCTTATAAATTCGTATGGATAGCTTTATATTGTTGGAAATTTTGTGTGTGGGCTCTATGAAATCCCACAATGGCTTGATGGACTGATTTGATGAGATTTGATGTTGTTTACGTTGGATTAGTGTTTAATCTAGTGGAAATGGGTTGTATTGTTGAAGAAAGTTCAAAGGAAGTAAAGAGGAAAATTTTACCGTTCTGCCCTTGCCATTGTCGTGACCCTTAGTGCATTTTTTTGTAGTTTAAATGACTGGATTTTTATGTAAATGTGTATTATAGGTTGTATATAAAGTTTTCTCAAAAATTTACGTGACTTGGATGAGTGAATGATGAGATTTCGAAAATTTGCCAAAACAGGAATTGTGTCCCGTATTGCTCTGGCAGTGATTTTGTTTCGGTCATAACTCTTTGCTCTGACATCAAAATCGAGTGCCGTTTGCGGCACTAGAAACTAGACATTCCCAGTTTTCCAATTGTATAAAATGCATTCCCTGATTCCACCTGAGTGAGCTGTACCAACCTGGTAAATTTGCCTGTTCTGTTTCACGTCTGTACTGGAAGCTCTGTTCTGAGCTGCGACTTGATGCTCAAATATGAGCTAGTTGTGGACAGAATTTTAAAATGATTCCTTCTAAGAAATTGTAGCCTTATGAATGTAGTTTTCAACGCCACTAACCACGCTGAATTATAAGTTGAATTGTGTGAGATGTGGTCAAATTTATGAACTGTCTTAGTGAAAGAAAACCCTAATTCTGGACTAATCTATAGCTAATCTTGATTTGGGACTTGTTATTCGAAATCCTTGGTGTTAATCACCTACCAAATGTATCTTGGATGTTTCTTAGACATTTTCTACACAAATGAATCATATTTGAGATGTTTTTGTTGGCCACACGTTTGGGGAAAAGGAAAACGGAACTACAAGGCAGTTTTGCCTTGGAAATTCTTGGAGTTTCAGTGACTTGGTTAACTAACTTTCCGTCCGAGTTTTTGCATGAAAATTTACAGAGGAATAGCCCTTATATGGTAGTGTAATACTGCTAATTTTGGTGCCATTCCAAGTTCATTTAGATGCTCAACTAAAGTACCAAAGTTCAAGCTTTAAACTTGGAAAACCCCTATTTCAGGAGTAAATTTCAGTGACTTTGAGCCACTATATCTTGGTGCTCAAAACTCCAATTCTTGTTCCGCTTGTTGTGTTGAAAACTTTGATTGTAACTCTAATTGAGTTCCTAATCTCAGATGCTAGTTCGCATTGTGTGAATTT